GCAGTGGTTGAGAGTCTGCCTGCCGATGCAGGGGACAAGGTTTCCTGCCCCGGTCCGGGAAGATCCCACATGCCGCGGAGCGGCTGGGCCCGTGAGCCATGGCCGCTGAGCCTGTGCGTCCGGAGCCTGTGCTCTGCAACAGGAGAGGCCACAACAGTGAGAGGCCCGCGTACCACAATAAAATAAAATAAAATAAAAAATAAATAAAATAAAGTAAGGGAGAGGCCTCTATGATACTGGGTTCTCATGTGTCAGTGGGGATGACAGGGTCTGGAAGAGCAGAGGCCAGGTGGCAGCCCTTAACTGTGAGAAACAAAGTAGGTATAATTACTATAATGGGCAGCAAGCCCAGAATGGCCACAAGCAAGACCCACAGAGATCTGCGGTGATAGTGATAAATCATGGGCTCCCTAGGGGTGAGCAGTCAATGAAAGTGTTGATTAACTTACATTTCTAAAAACGAAAAAGGGTAAGTGAACCAAAGGCTGATGTCAGCAGCCACAGTGGAAGTCATGATTCCTTCTTCATGATTCCAGAGCCCATTGACTGAAGGGACGGCAAGGAGTCCTCGAGGATCTAGCCTACAACTCCATAGCAAGTATTTATAATAGGGATTCCCCAATCCTTCCCCAAGAGAACCTACAACAATTAACCAGAGAAATAGACACTGTGGAAATAGGAATATTCTCCTCTTTGAACAGTTATAGGACACAGGGTCTCAGCTGACATCAATACCAGCAGATCCAAAATGCCATCATAGCCTCGTATTAGAGCGAGGGCAAATGGAGAACCAGTGATAAATGGAACCTTGGCTCAAGTCTGTCTTACAGTGCATCCAAAGAGTCTGAAGGATCACTCGGTGGTTATTTTCCTGGGCCTTGAGTGCATAACAGGGATTGCAGCTGGAAAAACCTTCACAGGGATTCCCTAACTGTGGAATAAGGGCCACTGTGGTTGAAAAGGCCAAGTGGAAGCTCATGAAACTGCACACCTGCTCCTTAGCCTCTGCCCTAGATAAACAATAGTAAATCATCCTGAATGAAATGGAAGAGTGCTATCCCAAAACTATTTAAAAGATGCATTGTCCTGTTTAATTCTCTAGTCTGAGTTTCTGCAAAAACCAGATCATGACAGATGATATTGGACCACTGTAAACGTTAAGTAGGGGCAGCCCCAACGGCAACTGCTGTGCAGAGAACTTTACTAGATGGACACAGCTTCTTATACTTGATATATAGCTACTCAGCTGGAAAATGCATTTTTTTTTCAATACACGTCAAGGAGGAGGATCAGAAGCAGTCTGTATTTACTTAGAACAGTCAGCAATGGACATTTAGTCTTACCCCGGGACTCTCCTGCTCTTTGTAACAAATATAGTACAAAGGGGTCTTGTTGATCCACAATATTGACAATATCAGACCTGGTGAGTGGGAAGTAGCAAGTGTTCTGGATGCCCTCATAAGACGTATGGGTAGCAGAAAATGGGAAATAAACCTACAAAGATTCGAGGACCTGTTATATTGGTGAAGTTTTAAAAGGCCAGTGGTCTGGGACATTCTGAGACATTCTCTCCAAGGTAAAGGACAAGTTACTGTACCTTACACCTTCTACCTCTAAAAAGGAGGTGCAATATTTTGTAAGTCTCTTTAGTTTTTGGAGACAGCATGTAGCACATTTGGGAATACTGCTCTGATCCATTTAAGGGGTGACTTGGAAAGCTGTCAGTTTTGAGTAGGGCCGAGAGCAAGAGAGAGCTCTGCAGCAGTTTCAGGCCACGGTGCCGAGGCCTTGCTTCATGGGCCATATACCTGGCCAGATCCCACGATGCTAGAGGTAGCTGTGCTGGGTAGGATACCTTTTGGAATCTTAGAATGCCTGCCCATGGGACGTCACATGGAAGTGCCCATCGTGAGCTGGGTATGTCAGACAATCAAGTCCTCAAGTTGGGCAGGCACAGCAGTAATCCACGGAATGAGAAAAATGGAACACTGGGATCAGGCCAAATACATCTCATAAGCAAGCAGCCTAGACACCCCCATGTTACCTATCTCTGGTTCACCAATGTCCCTTGGCTCATACCTCATATGGAATTCCCTGGGAACAGCTGATAAAAAAACGAAAAAAAAATCATGGATGAATCACGATATATTGGTGCAAGCTGTAAACGGAATGCTTTCAGACTTTAGTCCCATTCAGGTGCAGCCCTGAGAGATGGTGATTAGGGGAAATCCTCCTAGTGGGTAGGGCTTTAAGCAGTATTCCTAGGTCCTCAATTTGGAGAACAGTGCTGAATGGCTTGGTGCAGGGCCTGGAAGGAGCAAGACTGGATGATAAGAGAAAAAAGAGCTCTGGGGAAGAAGCATGTGAATGGGGCTTTGAGAGTGGTGTAACAAACATGATATATGGTGATCCCCAATGAGTCACACCCTTGTATAAGGAGTTATTGCACTGGCAGGTGGAGGTAGTTGCTGCTGCATAATTGGGGGCAGGGAGATATCTGTATTTTCGATAAATGGATCTATCTTCCTTTTCTTTTAGAAACTGGGACCACACACCGCCTTGAAGAACCAGTGACAAGGTGCTGGAAATTTAATGTGTGGGGAGGGGAGTGACTATGAGTGGCACAAAGAGAGGAACGTAGCAGATGTTATTAGTGCCCTGCCCCTATCCACTTGATATGTGCCTTTTCCAGGGATGGCCAGCCCAACTTCCAAGGGCTGGCATGTGTGATTCTTTGTCTAAGGACTCTTTGTCTAAGGACTCTTTCTAGCTGCCAGCACTTATTCTGCCTGAGCACAGGGCAGACTAGAAGTTACAGGGAATTAATGTTCTGCCATAGCAGCCCTCAACCAATAACTGATGGGAGTTGGTGAATAAATACCCCAGCTCCCTTTCCCCTTACAAGGAATAACTGGGACAGACATCCAAGCATTCCCCAGTGAATTCAGCCCACAGAGAAATTTGCTTGATAATATTCCCTTCATTAGCTTCCTTCCCTTTCCTGCTGTTGTTCGCTAGATTATTGCCCATGTAAACGATTTGTCCTCAAATTTTGTCTCAGGATCTACTCCTGGGTGAACAAAACTAAGACCAGGTTCGAATGAAAGTGCTTAATTATACTATAACATAATAATTGAAAACTAAATATTGGAAAACCAGAGTTCTACAGTTATTTCGAGTTGTTATCCTAAATAAAAACATTGTGCAAATACTTAACTCATGTTCAGAAGAGTTGGTTTCCATTATGAAGTGGAACAGAACTAAATATTTTTCCCAGTTAAAAGATCTAAGTCAATGCAAAATGCCAGAACTGACATGGCCATCTTTCTAGTTCTTTTTTTTATTCTTTTTTTTTTTTGCGGTACGCGGGCCTCTCACTGTTGTGGTCTCTCCCGTTGCGGAGCACAGGCTCCGGACGCGCAGGCCCAGCGGCCATGGCTCACGGGCCCAGGCGGTCCGCAGCATGTGGGATCTTCCCAGACCGGGGCACGAAACCGCGTCCCCTGCATCGGCAGGCAGACCCTCAACCACTGCGCCACCAGGGAAGCCCCTCTAGTTCTTAATAAAAAGGGTCCCAAACTATGAAAGAAAATGTAAAATAATAAATAATTAAATGTTAATTTAAAAAATTTGTAATTTCTCAATTTTGAATTTACAATATAATTCCTAATGCTACATTATGGATTTTAAATTTTAAAGTTTCCTTACACTTATAGCAGTTGAAAAATCCTCTAGCAGTGGGTTCTGCGGTTAACAGGGGGCCCATCTCCTGGGAAACCTAGCACTTCTACCTAGGCTGGGTTAGCTGTCACTAGAGTACATCTTACATCTCACAGTAGGTGCTCAGTAAGTATCTGTGAAATGAAGACATTGATACTTGAAAAGGGAAGTGGGTTTAAAAAGCGGAATTTCCGGAGATCCCGAAGTTTAGTTTTGCAAGAAAAGGAACTGGTCTGGGGTCCACGCAGGAGGTGGAATTCCATTCGTGCGACACCAAAATGCATCCGAGCGGTGGACTCCTACCCCTACTTACCTGGCCGCAGCGGACCCCAGCGGACCCCACCAGCAGGCCGTAGCCGCCTCCCGGGACTCTCTGTGGAGCGGTTGCCAAGAGATCTGCTGAGCGGTTGCCAAGAGAACCCAGAGCTGAGAAGAGCGCAAAACCTCTCGGGGGGCGGGGCCTCGGGAGGTGGGGCTGTGATTTATTTTCTCATTTTCAATATTCACTTTTGTACCTAATTTTGTATTCATAATTATTAATACACTCCTTTTCACAAAAATGGAAAGTGATGATCAAAGAGGGTACATGCATTGTCTATTTATGTTCACGCACATCCAAAGGAAGAAACCTTATTATTTTTTTATTTTTATTTTTTAAGAAACCTTATTTTAACGCAGAACTACAAAGCCAGTGCTACACTGCACTGCATTACACTCGGCAGCTCATTTTTAGAATTTACAGATGGTTAACCTCGTGCACAAGTATGTGGCAAAGTTGGTAATTTCCAACTTTAGATGATTCAAAAAAAATTGCTTGAACCACACACCCTCTGGACAATGTGGGTTTTGTTGACTCTCCTAAGGGTAAAATAGACAACAAAGACAGCGAGGGCGGCGGGGAAAACACTCAGTGAAAGAACATTGTTAGGTTTCCAAGAACGCAGAAGTAGGCGGGGAAAAACAGACCAACTTGGAAATGGATCTATCTGCAACTCGGAGAACCCCTTCAAAAGAAGCAATCCAGTCCCAAAAGATCTACTTTTCTAAAGAGAAGGACCAGATAAACGAGAGATTTGACTAAACCAGCAGCTCCTTTCGCCGCTCATTTTTTCTCTTGCCAGTACCAAAGATGGCGCTCTTTGCTTCCTCCCTCGGCAGTACGCAGGTTCTGGGAACCTCTACACGACCTCTCTATGGTGCACCCTCCAGCCCCGCCCCCTCCGTGCCTGGGGCTGGGCTTGCCTGGAGGTGGAGCGTAGGATCCGGAAACACTTAAGCGTGTTAGCTGGTCGTCTATATATTTGTCGACCAGGCGGCGTTTTTCTCGGCTGAAGCTGGGGTGCAGGGTCTGAGACGTCTTCTCTTCGAGTCTCCTGGGGTAGAGGACAGAGGCTGCCACAACCTGGGCCGCGGCCTGGGGCCCTGCCTTGGGGGCCCCCACTAGCTCGGGCCATGCCTGCGGCCGCCGCCCCCATTATCAGCTCGGTTCAGAAACTGGTCCTGTACGAGACTAGAGCTGTGAGTACCCTGCGCAGTGGAGCGCGGGCGGGAGGATGGCGGCCGAGTAGGTGTGGGGCAGAGGCAGCATTTACCCCCCCAGCCCCCCCATTTTCCCAGTTCCCTAATCCCAGCGGCGGGGAATATGCCCGAGGGGGCTTCGCCCAGTTATCGCACCCAGGGCTTTTGCACGTAAACATTTCCACTTAAAAGCCACGGTCGGAACACACTGGCAACAGGTGTTTGTGGTATCTCAGTAATTGTTAATGAGGTTTTATACGAGTTACTGAATTCTTTGCAACTTTCAGAAAGTCTTAGAGTTCTACAGTTCACTGGTTACAATACAGGCAGGGGTATGGAGAATGTTTCTGACCTGTGAATCGGTAACTTGTCTGTTTTCTTATTCCATGGCATAGCATCGCTGTGATTTATGTTAATTACGTGCGCTTTTATTGCTGACATTTTTGGTTCTCTTTATTTGAAAGGAAAAAACTTATTCTGTTTAAAGACAGTTGATTTTGTTGGGGTAACATTATTTTGCTTTTCACTTGACTTTTTTCCAACACATTTTATTTTGTTTTATTACTTCAAATTGCCATGAAAATAGTTGCTAGTAGAATAAGCAGATTCGTTTTTATGTTTAGGTTACTAGTTCCCTAAAATTTAGGGAATGGTGTTTATAGAAATACGTACTTTGTCATTTGTGTGGTTGGAAAATAAAGTATACTTTTTTAAATTGGGGTAACAGTGGTATTAGGGTCTGTGTTTAAATTACACTTTATGGTAACAAGATTGCATGTGCTGGAAACCTGCACAATACTCTTCCTTGTGCTATAGAGTGTCTTATAAGGCACAGTCAGTGGAACTTGGGTTGTCTCTACTAGATAGAAGAGTATAAGAAGGTACTTATCCTAACAGTTTCTCGGTTATAACAGGGTCCTAATAGCTTGTCTGCCTCAGGTCATCATTAGTGTAGAAACACTGTTGACCCTAAATTAGTTTTGGTGACAATTTCATTTGATTAGATCCAGACCAGCAGATGAAATTACCTAATATACTGTATTTGCAAATATATTCAGTTGTCCTCTGAGGAGAGCTCTACAGAAGTATCATTTTGAAACAAAACCTTCTGCTTTCTGTACAAGTGCTGATAAATATCCCTAGGTAGAAATATACATACTATATTTAAAATACAGAAATTTCAGCCCATTAATAAGCTGAACATTCATGAGGACTGGCTGAGATGCAAGTGTTCTTTCTAAAGCACAATTCATATTATAGGGCTTTTCTGCTAACCCTTCAGTGGCTCCCATTCTGAGGAGAGTAAACTCTATATCTCTTAGTTGCCTGTCTAGTTACTTGGCAACTAAATAGATCCTAGGAATTAAAAAAAAATGGTAACAGGTTGTATTAATGAGACCAAAAGCTAATGCTTTTGGAAGAGTTGTATGCCAAGCACTGGTCAAAGCACTCTACATACTTTATTATTTAATCCTCATAAAACTTCTAAGGGGCAAATGTTGTTGCTCTTCCTGTTATTATTTGGTAAAGAAGAAAAATGAGGCAAAACAGGTTAGGACAGTGCTGTTGAATAGTGTGAGCTGGCAGCTGGTGCCAGGCATAGATGGTTTGTAACTGGATGGCAACAAATTGCATATAGAAATTGAGAGTGATTAGAAACTTTTACAGCAATTTGACAGAGTAATTGTATTTCAGATGAATCAGCTAAACATTGGGTTTATGGTTTATGTCTTTGGCTTTCTGTTTTTAGCTTTGTTATGGAAATTTCAAGCAAATACAAAGTAAACAGAATGGTATAATAAACTCCCGTCTCGCCATCACCCAGCTCCAAAATTACCAACATTCTGTCACCCTCTATTATCTGTAACTTGTTCCACTTCCCACCCACAACTTATTCTTTTATATGGTTCTTTTTCTTTAAAATTTATGTAAATCAAAATGCACAAATCTAAGCTATAGAATTCGGACAGAAGTATACATGTGTTAACCACACGCTTATGTTGCTGTGGAAAGTTCCCTTGTGTCCCTATCCAGTCAACTGCCCCCTTTCCCTTCCTGGCAACTGATATTCTGTTTTTAAAATGTTAGATTAGATATGCCTGTTCAAGAATTTTATATGAATGGAATTGTACAGTACACACTCAAGTCTAGTGGCTTTTGCTCAGCATAATGTCTTTGAGGTTCATCCATGTTGTTGTGTGTATCAGTAGTTTGTTTCTTCTTCTTCTTCTTTATTTATTTATTTATTTTTTGTGGTACGCGGGCCTCTCACTGTTGTGGCCTCTCCCGTTGCGGAGCACAGGCTCCGGACGCGCAGGCTCAGCGGCTGTGGCTCATGGGCCCAGTCGCTCCGTGGCATGTGGGATCTTCCCGGACTGGGGCACGAACCCGTGTCCCCTGCATCAGCAGGTGGACTCTCAACCACTGCGCCACCAGGGAAGCCCCTCTTCTTATTATTGAATAGTTGTCCATTGTATACATATTCCACAGTTTGTTTATACGTTTTCCCTATTGACTTAGACTGTTTCCACATTTAGACTGTTGTTAATAAGCCAGCTGTGAACATTCTTGAACAGTTATATTTGTAGACATATGTTTTCACTTCTCTGGGTAAATACCTCTTAATGAAATTGCCGGTCATAGGGTTGATGTTAGGTGGTTGCACCATTTCACACTCCCATCAGCAAGGTATAAAAGTCTCCATTGCTCCATATCACTGACAGCATTTAATGTTGTCAGTCTTTTTAGTTTTAGTTATTCTAGCGGTGTATAATGGCATCTTATTATGGTTTTAATTTGCATTCCTCTAATGACTAGTGATGTTGAGCATCATTTCATGTACTTATTGGCCATTTTTATATCTTCCTTTTTGAAGTGTCTGTTCAAGTCTTTTGCCCACTTTAAAAAATTAGACTGTTTGCCTTTTTATTATTGATTTGTAGGAGTTCTTTATATATTATGGAATCAAGTCCTTCATGATATATGTATTGTGAATATTTTCTTTCAGTCAGCAGCTTGCCTATACATTTTATTAATCTTTTTTCAGCTTTATTGAGGTATAATTGACAAACAAAATTGTAAGATATTTAAGGTGTGCAATGTGATGATTTTATGTATATATATATAATTTTATATACATATATACACATTGTGTTAGCAATCTTTTGATGGACAGAAGTTTTTAATTTCAATGAAGTATAATTTATCAGTTTTTTTCTTTCATAGTTATTGTTTTCTGTGTCCTATCTAAGAAACCTTTGCCTACTCCCTGAGCACAAAGATATTTTCCTGTGTTTCCTCTAAAAGATTTATACTTTTAACTTTACTTTTAGGGGTGTGTTTCATATTAAATTAATTTTGTGTATGGTGTGATGCAGGGATTGCATTGCTTATCTATTGTGGAACAAATTACCTCCAAACTTAATGGCTTTAAACATTTCGTATTTCACAGTTTCAGTAGATTGGGAATCTGAGTGTGACTTAGTTGAGAGCTTCTTACTCAGGATCTCATGAAGTTGCAGATGTCAGGTGGGCTACAGTCCTCTAGACTGGGCTGGAGGATTTACTTCCAATATGGCTCACTCACATGCTTGGCAGTTGAGCTGGTTGTTGACAAGAGGCTTCAGTTCCTCACCTAATGGACATTTCCACAGGACTCCTTGAGTGTCCTTATGATGTGGTAGCTGGATTTGTCCAGAAAGAATGATCCAAGAGAAACAAGGGCAAAGCTGCAATGTCTTTTGTAACCTAGCCTCAGAAGTCACACGCCATCATTTCTGCAATATCCTATTGTTCATGCAGACGAGCCCTGTTCTGTGGTAGGGGACTATACAAGGGCATGCATACCAAGAGATGAGAGTCTTTAAGGGTTCTTGGAGGCTGGCAACCACAGGGATTGAGGTTCACTTTTTTCCATACATCAATTCTCCAGCCTCATTTGTTGAAAAAATTATCCTTTATTTTATTGAATTTTTTGGTATTCTTGTGAAAAATTAGTTGAAGAAATGTGAATTGATTCCTAAACTCTCTATTTTGTTCCATTGATCCATTTGTTCTTCTTTATGGCATTTCCACCTTCTCTTGCTTATTATGGTTTTATAATCAGTGTTGAGATCAGGAAGTGTAAGTTTTCCAACTTTATTTTTTTCCAAAGTTGTTTTGCCTATTCTAGATCTTATGCATTTCCATATGAATTTTACAATCAGCTTATCAATTTATAATAAAAAGCCTGTTGGGATTGCGATTTGGATCTCATTGAATCTATAGATCAAATTTGGGGAGAACTGAATCTTGATAATATTGAATCTTTCAATCCATGGTGTATTTCTCCATTTAATAGGTCTTTACTTTTTCTCAGCAATATGTTGTAGTTTTCAGTGTAGAAATTTTATGTCTTTAAAAAACCTATTCCTAAGTATTTTATGAACTTTTACACTACTGCAAATGGAATTTTAAATTTGATTTAACAATTGATCATTGCTAGTATATAGAAATTGATTTTTATATATTGATCTTATATCCTGAAACCTTGCTAAACTCACTGTGTTGAGAAGCTGGAGCTGGTGTATTGAGTTAAGAATATGCAAATTATGACTTGCTGAATGAGGGGGCACAAGTTATCCACAGGGGTTTGGCAGGTAGCTCCCTCAGTATCTGAGTTCTCACTTTGGGGACGTGAAACCATGAGCTTGTTTTGATTGAAGGCATAGTTCGAATACATCCACACAAAGGAAGTAGAGTCACAAAATCTATTACTTATATATCTCAGAAATGTGTGGGGAGGCACAATGAACCGGGGGAAGGGCAGTCCTCCATCTCAGTTCACAAGCAAACAGGAGATAGAAAGCAGGGTAGCAAGCACCTAGTACGTTTAAGGTGGTTGGGGTAGAGGTCACTAACTTTTTGAGGGCTTAGCTCTAAGTGACTGTTTTAAAAGGTGCCCTGGGAAAAGCAAAGCAGGAATTTATGGCAGGACTCCGAAGCTTGGTGTTTATCTAAAT